TGAGGTCAACAAGTGATGGATCATGCCTCCCACCCCTTTAAGGACTTTAATTTAGAAGCAGAAGAGAGTTCTCTCAGGAAACGCACAGGGGTTACGTAATATTGCAGGTCTGTTATTCTGTTATTGAGTTCTCTAATCCATTAGGGCCAAGTCCTTCCTGTATATAGTTAAGGGTATTAATGTTCTGTTCTCTGAACACTGGTGCATTTCAACATTTAAATAACCTTAGTAATGATAAAAAAACTCATCCAACTTAGAGTTTTAAACATTGTCTAGATTTTCCTGACAGTCGATTCCTTGTGTTCGTGTTTATTAAACTGACAGTAAATTTACAGTTGAAAACATTTAAAATAGAACCATGTGCATGATATTCCGGTTTTATTTCATCACGTTAGATGAATTGCAGCAACTCCATCAAATCTTGTTTGGAACAAGTTTTTAAATGTTGTAAAAGTGGACATCTGGGTGGTAAAGATGTTCCTGTTTTGGTCAAACCCTAATAGAAACATTTCTTTGCCTCCTGGGACCACAAACCTCTCTCATTGTTTGGAATGACGCAGGGCCGTTTAGAGCTCTGAAGCTTCTTGATCAGGTTACCAGATGCAAACCAAGAGCTCACAAAGGCTTACTCACATGGAGGCTGTGTGAAAGGAGTTTCTTGTTTCGCAGCCAAAAAGCCAGGGGCTGTGCTGTCCATCAATGGCATCTGAGGCTCCCACAGGACTGTGTCCAGTGTTGAGGGAGCAGGAGCCCAGTAAACAGATCAGACAGAAGTGACAGCCGACACGGAGACCACTTTCAAGTGTAACATTATCGATTAGAGAGCAAAATGTTGCTATGTAGTGTTGTTGCTTTGCTTGGAGTAGAATGTTTTTTATTAATAGTTCAAACAAAAACAAAATACTCTGACTTGGTGTTAAACTCCACCAAAAATAATTTCCTGAAGGATAATACAAATAGAATTCTATAAATGTTGATTTTTGTGTTCTTGGCAGCCAATGTAAAATGTAGTCATTTGTCTACAGCTAACTGTCAGTTTTACAGTTATGTACTGTAATGTGTAATGTGCCAATGTGCCTATGTCCTTCAAATCCCTTTTGCTTCAGTGCATTTTAAATGTGTTCTGTTACAAATGGTTTACTTTATCTTGTTTTTTATTTTTTATGAGTAATTTTTTTAATCGTAGAAGTGACAACAAAATCCGGTTCTATAAGTTAAACATATACAAGGAAAGCATAAGCCATTACACACCGAGGTTTACTTGCTCAAGAAACACACTAGTTTCTTTACCGCACAAGTTAGCTGATTAAATAATCTGAACACATAGCATTTACACATTCGGTGTGGGATGCATCTTGAAAATCTGAGTCATTGTGACTGACTGTTCTTCAATCATCACACACTGTGTATGTAATGTGGGTAATTTCAATCAGTAATAATGAGAAGTATGCTTGTAGCTGATTATTTCAAATGATCTAAATTATAACCCTGTTGAGAAATGTTTCTTTAAAAACTGTATGAAATGAATGCCCTTAGAAAAGATTGCTCTTGTACACCATTGCAAAAGCAGGAGAAACTGTAGAAAAAGATAGTGAAATCATGGTAGAAGAGAGAGAGAGAGAGTCTTTATTATCCCTGAGGGAGTAATTTGTTTTACATTGGCAGCGTTGGCGTACTCATGACAGAAAAAAAAAAACACAACAATATGCATACACGTTTGCATAGAAAATCAAGTGTTAAGTAAGGATATGGCTACAGGTATGAATGAGAACTTGAATCCATTGGTTTTGGAGTGGGGGAGTTTGTATTTGTACTCTGATGGGAGTAACTGGAATTCATTCAACAAGAGTGTGAAGAATCATCAGAGATGTATTTTGCTTTACGCAAAACACATGAATGATAGATGGTGGAGTAGGCTGGAAGATCAGCACCAACGACCTTCTGGCATATTTTCACAAGATAGAGAGCTATGCTAGAGCATCCCATCACAAGAAACTACAGAAATGCAAGTGTATGATCTGAGCAGTGTAAAACCACTGTGATAATACTGTAGTGTGGAAATTACCTGTGAAAATAATAAGTTGACCAAAATGACCTTTTATAAAAGATCTCTTAGACAATATAAGGACATCCATAACATCTCTTGAATATACTAAAATAATGTTTTTTTAACCAGTATAATTTTCCTTTCTACCCTGAATTATACTCCTTGACCACTGAGGTTTGAAACATTTTTCTACGGATATAATGATACGTATCAAGAATATTGTGTATCACTATTGTTACTTGTCCAAAACACCTATTCTGAGTTTTCGTTAAAACAATTTTACCTAGGACTCATGATAAGAGGCAAAATCTAAACTGCATTGTTTTATTACAGCAATTGCTCATGTGCCTTAAAAATATTCATTCATCCATTATATGACCATTTTCTCCAATTCATTATTGCGTGGGGAGCCAGAGTCTATCTTGGCAAGCAACAGGAGCAAGGTGGGGTGCATAAAAATACAGTATTCATAAGTTCATTAATGGATCCATACTGTAGCATTTTCAATCATTTTGTGTTGTGGTTTCTGGATACATGCTATATCACTGCAGCCCCACCTTCAGACTAATATTGTATGGCTTTTTCAGCCCAGTAGTTCTGCTTTGATATCTTGTTTTGGGAATCTTAATTTCAAGACTGGTGTCAGAGCTTTGACAGGTTTTGGCAGAGCCTTCACACTGGCCTTAAAGCTGCAGTAATAATGGGAGAAAAAAAAAGATGATGCCATTAGAAAAACAAATGTATTCTTTGGTCCAGCAATTTTAAGATGTCTAGTATCATACTAGGAATAGAATAGAGGAATAGAATCCACTCAATCGAATCTCTGAAATGACAGCAAAGGGAATATGTCTTTTAAAAACCTTTGCCATGTTTAGTAAAACTGTATAATCTTGCTAATGTGAACTTGGGATAAACATTTCCCTAGAAATTAAAATAGAAAACAAGACAGCCATTTGAATAACTTAATAGGTTTGTGTCTTGAACAAATGCATAATGATCACCTTCTATCCCTGTGAAAATGCTAGTATTAAAAGATTCCTGTAGTTACATCCTTCCTACTCTGTCGTCTGTAATTATCTGTTAACGTTGCCAGTCCAGATAAACACTACTTTTCCTGGTATTTTTGGTTTTACTTTTTTGATGACTTTCCATCTGTTTTGAGTCACCAAGGGAGGGCTGTCCTATATTTATATATGTGGTTATTAAAAATAAATTGTGTGTCACATGGGAGGAAAAGAATTGACCTTTATCCCTTCCTATCTAAGGCTTAATAACTGGGATTCACACCAAGTGGCACACGAGGACCTGTGCTTATGGGGTTTTGCTATCAGACAGACGCTTCTATAAATTCCAGTTTAGAAAACTAATCAGCAGTTGTCAGATATTGTCTACACTGCAGCAATAAATACACCCTGCCTGTGGTAATATAAATCTAGTGTAAAAGACAGTCTTAAAGGTAAATTATAAAAGGTTTATGCATGTATGCTACCATATTTAAAGCATTATGTGAAATGAAAGGAAACCTACAGTATAGCTTTAAGGCGTGCATTAATACAGGCCTAATGACTCAACAAAATAGAATGTTGTCCTGGTTAAAATCTTTGCAGTTTCATATACTCAGTTTGCAACATGTCTAGTTTGTGTCTTTTTCTGCTAAAGATCAAATTTGTTCTTCCTTGCAACAAGTGCAAGCTAACACATTGTTTAGGGTCTAATAAATTTGGTCTCACAGTCCCTTACTAAGCAGTTAATCTATATACTGTAGTAAGGTAACATTTTTCCATTTCCATACATAGTTTATGAAGGTCATGGTTATAAAATCAATTATTAAATTCAATTATTTCAATCTTTCAGGGTAAAATATTTTCTGTTTTGGTATACTGTATGTACATGGTACATAATATTCTGGTTCTGTAATGCCTTTTGAAAGACAAACTTTTGAAATGCCTAAACATAAAATTGTATATATTTTAAACAAGGTCACAGTTAAGTGTTTATTTTCATTGTGTAAATCTCCACCAGCCTGTCTGCACTACTGCCCCTTACAAGGGGCCTAGAAAATTAACATTATGGTCCTTATTGTACCATGTTCTATGTTCACAGCATGTTGTCTGTAGCTTTCCTATATGGCCTGGTAAATTGTAGTACAAGTTTGAACATTAATAATTGTGGGAGAGCCTCAAATTAGCAACCTTAATACCTTTACCTTTTTCATGTTTTGAAATCCCCATAACAAGTGAATTACAATCTGTGGCCAAGCATAATTTCCACTGGAATTTCAGTTTGTAAAATAATACCCTCTTTTTTTCTGGCGCTGCATGTAACATGCAAATGTTTCAGGGTGCCACAAAATTGATAATAAAGAAGTCACTAAGAATATGCTTTTCATTTCTTTTATAGCATTTCAATTAATTGAAGTCCTTCATGCTGGAGGTCTGTTACTTCGTTAAATATTGACAGAAAGACAAAATAGAATTTAGTCATGCAATAACATTGCTTCTTTACTCAAAACCAAGTGAAAAATGAATTTATATGATTAATGTTGACTCTGTCAGAGTCTGTATAATCTGGCACCTACTGTATTCTCCATTTATTTTTCAGCAAGTGCATTTCAGACTAGACGAGAAGCCAGATTCCTCAGGAGATACCCTAAAATGGCCTTGAGCTGCTGACAATCCTCAGTGACTTAGCTAAATGATCAGCTAAAATACTCAAAATTTTACAGCTTTGCTTAACATAGTTTATTAAAGTGCTGACTGATGGTGCTTCAAGTTAATTAATGTGAAGTTCTGGAACTAATAAAAATATGAGGAAAGATTTTTTATGTATATGGGTCCTCTTTATTTTCATATGAAGGATTTCTTTGCTGCACTTTTTATACATAATTCAATAGCTATTTGGTTTTAGTCCTGTATTGATACTGTATTACAATTATTTGTTTTTTCTTTTGTAGGTTATTCTTATCCTGACCAAATATTACCATGCAGACTCAACCAAGGTTCTGGAGAGTTCCCTGTGGAGGTAGGCCTTGCTTCATGCACTATCAATTGCAGTAGAGGTTTTTAAGAGGGCTATGGTTCTCCTGGGAGAGCAATTACAGGCATTTACTTCAGCCACATACATTGAACATCCTAGTCTTCTTTCTAAAGGGCAGCAGAAAGGAGGTGGGTAAATAATAAACAGAAAACTAAATATCCCAGGCAAATAACATGTACTGTAGTCTGATCTTTGTATAAAGAATGATGACAAAAGGTTTCCAAATATACAGTGTTTGTTAGTTTTATTATGGTGACCAGTTAAATCCAGCTGTCAGTGAAATTTGAATTGTTGTTAATTAGATCTGTGAAAGATAATACTCTGAGCCCTCTACATAGATCTTCCTGCGTGTACTTGGACACCTTGCGGGGCTTTAAAAAAAAGTTATCTCCTTCTCTTGTGTTATAGCTTTGTTATTAATATTGGAATTGTTTTTCCTTTTTGTCCTTGCTTTAGTATCAGAATCCCCACAGTAATCTATTTCATATCTAGAAATTGCTGTTTTTCCCAGCGGGAGTCCAAAGGAATGAAATGGTAACAATGAAAGGGCGGAACTGCGAGTGCTGAAACAATAAATACTGTATTCTACACTTCAACAATAAATCAGTTTTTGTTTAAGGTTCCAGAAAAAGAAATATGATGCATGTGTTTCCAAAGTTACCTTACTAATGTCCTACATTAAAACAATTCAATCTTTTACCCTCAATGTCCAGAGCAGTCAAGGATATAGTGATCCATCTGAGGTATTCCTGGGAGAGGCAGCTTGAAGTTATCTCTAAAGTCTTGTAAATGCCAAGCTACCAGTTATGTAATGGCACTGAAAAACAAGCTTTTGGCAGCATTTGTATAAAGCAGTGGCTCCAGCATTTTGGTTCAATTGCATTATTTACAGTTCTAGTGTGGGTTCTCAGTTGCCCAGATTAATGTCTACATTAGGCTTGTGGTGTGCAACTCATTTTACAACAAGAAAAGGTTATGTAAGATTTTATTTTCATTACATTGTTGTCTGAAAGTGCTGTTTTTTCTTACAATGGGTGCTTGTAAAGTTTCAAGGAAAACAACAAATGGCACACATGCAAAATCCAAGCGATCTTAAACTTTTAGCATTGGTAAATTATTTAAATATTTAATAGACCGTCATCAACACTGATGTCATCAACATCAATAAACACATTAATTTACATTGTGATAAATGATAATTACCCATTACCCATTTGTAGTATTTTTAATCAACATATGGTGCACCACAGTCATCTTAAACTCCTCATGGGATGTGAGTGATCAACATGTCCTTATATTAAGATGCATATCAGATTTAAAGATATATATATATTTAAAAAAACTTGTAATTAAACAAAAACTTTAAATATTTTTTCACACAAACAAGTGAAATTCAATTAAAATGGTCACAAAAGTAGTGAAATATCTATAAAAACAAGAAAACATTAGTTATTAGCTAAATATAGCACACATTCATTATCTAACTTCAAAAGAATTAAATCTTTCAAAATCATCAGTTTAAAGAATTTTAGTATACACCATGACAAAGTAGACATTCCTTACCTCGTAAATCTTGCTGGTACTTTTTGTGCAGCACACATTTAAACATAGATAAAGAAATCTCTCCTCCTTTATATCGAGCACATTGTAAATAATCCTGTACTGTACAGTAGGTGTACTATACTGTAGTTTAATTTCACTCCCCCTTAGATGCATTTTAGTCCTAGATCAAACAGGAGAACAGAAGGAAAAAATTGTTCTTCCCTTATTTAATTTTTTCAGGTTTCATTTAATAAAATATAGGCTATATACAGCAACACAGGTGATAGGGCACCTTTACTTTTAAAGAGTACAGTTGTTGAGGTACATTATGATGGAGATGTTGTTGATCCCATGTTAGACATTAAGAAGTATGCTGATTATTCTCGAATCAATAGGGAGTGCTTCTGCATAAAGATTCATAATCAAACAAAAAGGAAATAAAAGGTTCTTAAACAGGGTTGTGTTATTGTGGTTTTTGGGATTTTTTTTACTGTTGGGATTATTTTTTGTGTAAGGAATATCCTCCTATGCTCATATACACATTATGAGCTGCCTGCCCTCAGCAATTATAAGAACAAGTTGAACATTTCCTTGAAGAACCTAATAGCAATTCAGGAAACATCTCGGATTGTATTTCCGTGTAATTCACTTTATTGTTACAATATGGTCGGATAACTTGTAGCCTCTGTGAAAACTCTGAGGCATTCTGCAAGCTTGTTACAGTACCAGGCAGAATTAGTTTTGTGTTGGGATCCAACACTTTATAAGGAAAATGTCTTTGGTCAGTAAAAAAATAACTACTGTAGTAGTTTCGTGGTAACAGTCTATTATATTTTAAATGTAAGAAAACTGCAGATGGTGGAGTGTGAGGGAGTTTTGAGATGTCAGATTTTTGTACTATTTTGTGATGTTTTTCAAAGCAGTGTTAGCAAAAAGTGGACAAAATATGCACAGTATAAGACCTTTATTGAAAAGAGAATTTAAAACATTTTCTACTCTGAAACATAACTGAGTCAGTGACTTCTGACAGGTTCAAGAGAACTGAGTTGTATGAAGATTGACAGATATTAACATGGCTTACCTGAACTTTTCTGGGTGTTTTTTTTCCGTTTAATTTTTAAAAAGGCACAGAAGAATAAAAAAAGGTCCATATCTCCCTTATATTTGTGGTGGGAAAGCAGTATGATAGGACTTAGTACAGCTTTCCTGGGTTCTTTCACTTTTTGAGAATTGGAATAAAACTCATTGCCCAACATTTACACAGATCATGCCTGTATATGGGTCCAAGTGAAATTACTCTACCTACAGATACAGTATGTATGAAATACCCATGATAGTACTAGCCTTGAAATAGGAGACACTTTTTTGACCATATTGGACATTTTAATGTCTTGTTAGTGATTGTTTTCTTTAATTCCAGGGCACGAGACAGTTTTGTACAGTTTGTGTGGCTCCAGAAGTCTTGGGCTCGGCTTTAGTGTCTGTTTATAATTGTTGTAATATGTTACGTCTGATAAAAAAACAGTGAATTTTTTTTGTCTGATTTTGAAAATAGGTTTTACTTCAGTTTTTGCTTTGCAGTCAAATCAGCTCTTCTATGGTAGCCTTCCCATACAGGGGAGTATTCTACTGTCAAGAGGTTGTGTTGCAGGAAAAGCATATCCTTCTTGTTTTACATCACTGTATCTCTTCCACAAGAAAGGGCAGAAGGGACTCACAGCATGGTGGGATGGGCACTTTGTTTATGTGCTCACGGTGGAGCTGCTCCTTACTGAAGTACTTAATTATTGTCAGGAGGGGATCTCTGGGACATCAGCAGAGTGAATGGCACTGAAGTTGTTACAGTAACCCTAGCTGAAGTGCTAGTGGCCAGAAGGAAAGTACCTTTCACCATTTCAAATGTATGTCCTATAGTATCTCATTCCTATAACTATAAAGAAATATTCACCAAGCATCAGTTCACTCACTAACAAAGGAAGTAAACTGGGATTTGACTGTTTAGTTATTAGTAGCAGGGTAAGTGTTGCTGAACTAGTAATCTTGCTCACTATGAGAGGAAACACATTTTCAGACATTTGGTGTCCGTGTTTGGTGTATGTTGGCTGAGGAGCCAATGGTGTGAAGTTACCATCTGTGGGATTATGATTGAAAATTTCAAAATCAGAACCCCCTTTAAATGTACCATTCTTAAAAGGCTATGTTTTCCAATGTAATTTGTAAATTTCTAAAGGTTTCCAACTGCAATTTGTTTCTAAGGAATTCTGCTTTTGGTAACATTCAATGTGAACTGATAAAATGTCTACATGGCTCCTTGTTGCTTACAACAGGTTTTGGAGTGTAAAAGAAGTGGTTTGGGGTCACATTTACACACGTCTGGAAATTCATAAATGCATCAGGCTGGGGCTTTTTGAATAAAACAGGAACAGATTCATTTAAAAATTGTGAAATCGTCAAACCCAGAGACAGGGTTTTCTTGTCCCTTGAGCTTTGATACTTTAAGAAATTCAAAGGGTCTTCAGGCTGTTTAAAAGATAGAATGATGACTTTTAGACCACTGGTGCATAATACATTTCTTTGAGAAAGGCTGCCATAGCCCACTGTAGTATCTCCACAGGGGGTAGACTTCAGAGTTAGCTTTGAGTGTCCTTTACTGGGATCTCAGGGATTTGGAGGAGAGTGTGGATAATGTATTACACTGCATTATAGAGATTAACATATGACACTTACTAAATCAATACCAGCGTGAAACTGTACAAAACCACTGATTTCACTTCTGTTTGATCCAAGGCTTGAAAGTCTGAGGCAGATACAAGCCCTCTTTTCTACATTTGTATTTTTTTCCATTTGTTTTGGCCTGAAGTTAAAAGCTGTTGACAATTAGACCGAGTTGCCCTTGCATTTTAAAGCTGTAATAAATATACAGATTTTGTCAATGTCTACTGAACCCAATTATGTTAGAGGCTGCTGTCTTATTTTCCTAAATATTCCATCTTTCCTTTTTAGAGATAAGGAAGCAGGCACCCCACCAGATGGTGCTGCATTGTAAATAGTTAATAGCAAACCACATCCTTCTCCAATTTCCATCCAGACCACCATACATATTTAATGTTCTTCTGAGGACTGTAGCAAATCCTGTATCTGAAAAATGCATTTAAATAAATATATGAATAGGACACTTATAATATTGAGGAACTGGTAAATGGCTAGAAATATATCACCTTTCGGTTATCAAAAGACTCTCTTAAGAGAAAAAGGTTTCTACACATTGTCATGATCAGACTTATGGAAAAACTGTCAATGGCAATTGACAGAGGGATATTAACCCACAATCATGTTCTAGACAACTTTTGGAAATGAAAAGACCACATGATTTTCACTCAATGCTATTTTGTGAGTATAGTTTGAATTTAGCCGTTACTGAATCTAAATGGGTTATCACTGTC